TCTATTGCTCTCTTAACTCAGAAAAAAATACTCAGAAAAACAGAAAAATTACCACAAAAAACAGAAAAAAAAATACCACAAAAAAACAGAAAATATTACACCGAAAAACAGAAAAATAAAAAAATTACTCAGAAAAACAGAAAAAATGACTCAATAAAACAGATTTTTTTTTTTTTTAATTTGTCAAGTGAATGCAATACCCTATGGAAGCCCATTTCCGCCACTTGATGGAAAAAAAATAATATCTATTAACTCAAAATAATGAGATACTAAGTCAAAATTATGAGATACTAAGTCAAAATAATGACATACTAAGTCAAAATAATGAGATACCAAGTCAAAATTATGACTTAATAAGTCAAAATAATGAGATACTAAATCAAAATAATGAGATACTAAGTCAAAATAATGACTTGCTAAGTCAAAATAATAAGATACTAAGTCAAAATTATGACTTAATAAGTCAAAATAATGAGATACTAAGTCAAAATAATGACTTGCTAAGTCAAAATAATGACATACTAAGTCAAAAATAATGAGATACTAAGTCACAATAATGACTTGCTAAGTCAAAATAATGAGATACTAAGTCAAAATAGTGACTTGCTAAGTCAAAATAATGAGATACCAAGTCCAATAATGAGGTGAATGAGTACAGTTACAGCCTTCAACAATCCATACTCTTCATCTCTCAGTCACGATGGATAACATCATTGAGGGATACTAACTCAAAACAGTGAGGTCATAACTCATGTACATCGGATATGCCACACACTACACTTTGATGTGACGTATGGGGTAAGTTTGGCTACTTAAGTAGTCTACAAATTACAAAATGTAGTAAAATAGTGTTGATTTTAAGTGTTCTGTTTGGCTAAGGCATAAAGTTAATTATACAACAGTTAGTTTTGACCGAGTAATTTGACTGGACGAGAAGCATTCCGTGAGTGCTGATATAGAGTAAAACATCACTGGGACTTGGAACAGTAAAATCACTCTGCTCACAGGTGTTAAAAATATAAACACAACCGTTAATTAACCAACTGTCACACTCGCTACACTGACACAAACTGACACTAGCGTTACACCAAGAAGATGGATATTTTCCCCAAAATTACATTTGAATTAAATTATGAGTGGTCGTCAGGAGAGCCAGGAGTCTTCTGTGCAGACCTCCAGGCAGGGGTGTCGTTTCAGCAAAAGCTAAGGTATGGCAATATGACATGACGTCACAGAGCTACTGATGATGGAGTTTCAAAAATATGAACTTACGTAGTACATACTATGCTACTGAAATCTGTTTCAAAGGACATGAAGCTGTTTCTCACATTCATAATACCTCATGTCTGCATGTAATGCACGACTTGGTGAGAGCAGTGAAAACATCGGATCTATTTCGGTGTATATTTCAGAACCACGGACAGCGAGCGGGCGTTTAATTATCATTAGTCATGTGTTTAACTTCACAGAAAATAAAGAAAATAAATTAATTACAAGCTCATTTCTAGAAGATAACCAAGGTGTTCGGTTTATGAAACACAGTAAAACAAAGGCCAATTTGGTACAATACTGTATAGGCAAATTTATTGGAGTGTCTCCAGAGACTGAAAATACAAGTTTAACATGCCTACATGAAGAAAAAACCCCACATACAATCAGACAGGCTTCAAGACATCATTTAGACAGTCTTTCTACAGCAGCAGAGCAAAATGCTTTTACAACACACAGATACCGTATTTTTCCAAATAGTAGCCCGGGTGTTTATTTCACAAAATCGATTTTGACCCCAGGTGTTTAAAAGAACCAGGCGGCTATTTGCTCAAGGCTTTTTCTTTTCTTTTCTTTTTTTTTTTGCACCAACCTGCACCAGGCCGTTATTTGGTTACAGTTCCTGTCCGGTATGTTTTAGTGCAAAAATACTGTATAATGTAGGAGTGAGCTCATGTACAAAAATCTCTAAACATTTAGAGTGGGTCATTTTTTTCGTGTATACGGGTTTCACCACTGGGTGGAGCTATTGCATTATACCAGTAAAGCCCCAGTTATCCAAATACCAACCGAATGGGCCATTTAACCAACAGTTACAGGCCGCCACACAGAAATATCGCCATCGCCATCCCGAATTTTGTTCCCTGAGTCCTGACAGTAAGCTATGGCGAGCCTGTAGAAGCTATATTTCCCATGCATGTCAGCGATTTTCACCGGGGACGCACATGAGTAATTCAGGCTGACATCACCTGTTTTTCAGCGAACTCTTCTGGTAATTTCATTAAAAGCCATGGCATATAGCTCCACAGTAACTTATTATTATTATTATTATTATTATTGGGCCTTCTAAGAGTGGGCTACAATGAGTACCGGGCCATCAAATCACAGCACCCGCGGTGAGAGGACACGGAATTGTTTTTTTAAGCACGCGGGTCAAGGCAATCACGGATATTTGATGTGGGAAAGATGTAGCCAGATGTATTACCTGTTTTAGATACGTGGCTGTCTGTCCGTCCGTCCGTCCGTCCGTCCTTCCATAGCACGAGTCATGTACACCACTTCACCACCGACCCCTGCGTAAAAGCGCAATCGGTCCCTCAAGGAGGGACAGCCATGAGGCAATGAATGAGGAAATAATCGCCCGGGCGTTTAATCGGACCGGCGTTTAATACGCAAAATGGGGTCAAACCCCCGCGGCTATTAGGTGCCTAGCGGCTATTTGTCACTGGGCGACTATTTGGAAATATATGGTAACTCACATAACTCATAACTCGCGGAGGAGTGGCGAACAATTTTATTCAATAACACTGGTATTCACTAACACTGGTATTCACTGATGAGCATATTATTGACCTATTTAAGTGCAACTTAAACTAATTGTTGTATAATTAACTTTATGCCTTAGCCAAACAGAACACTTAAAATCAACACTATTTTACTACATTTTGTAATTTGTAGACTACTTAAGTAGCCAAACTTACCCCATACATCACATCAAAGTGTAGTGTGTGGCATATCCGATGTACATGAGTTATGACCTCACTGTTTTGAGTTAGTATCCCTCAATGATGTTATCCATTGTGACTGAGAGATGAAGAGTATGGATTGTCGAAGGCTGTAACTGTACTCATTCACCTCATTATTGGACTTGGTATCTCATTATTTTGACTTAGTATCTCATTATTTTGACTTAGCAAGTCATAATTTTGACTTAGTATCTCATTATTTTTGACTTAGTATGTCATTGTTTTGACTTAGTATCTCATTATTTTGACTTAGTATCTCATTATTTTGACTTATTAAGTCATAATTTTGACTTAGTATCTCATTATTTTGACTTAGCAAGTCATTATTTTGACTTAGTATCTCATTATTTTTGACTTAGTATGTCATTATTTCGACTTAGTATCTCATTATTTTTGACTTAGTATCTCATTATTTTGACTTATTAAGTCATAATTTTGACTTGGTATCTCATTATTTTGACTTGCAAGTCATTATTTTGACTTAGTATCTCATTATTTTGACTTAGTATCTCATTATTTTTACTTATTAAGTCATAATTTTGACTTAGTATCTCATTATTTTGACTTAGTATCTCATTATTTTGACTTAGCAAGTCATTATTTTGACTTAGTATCTCATTATTTTGACTTAGCAAGTCATTATTTTGACTTAGTATCTCATAATTTTGACTTAGTAAGTCATTATTTTGACTTAGTATCTCATTATTTTGAGTTAATAGATATTATTTTTTCCCATCAAGTGGAGGAAATGGGCTTCCATACATATGTACCCATCTAATGTGTTTTCCAAAAAAAAAAGGAAGACAAAAGTCTCTCTTAATTTCCTCTTTTATCTTCATCAGGATGAACCAGAACTTCCGGATGGTGTTCTTGTTTCAGGATGAGCCATGTTCTGGCTTCATTGATGAGTTCAACAAGCGACAGCCCAGAATGCTGCAGTTTCTTAAAGACCTGGAGGAGAGTGCTGTTCAGCTGGACAGGATGAATAAGGGGGCAAAGATCTCCAGTGTGGTAGGCAGCTCAGTGGGGGCAGTTGGAGGTGTGCTTTCCATCGTTGGTTTGGCATTAATTCCTGTAACAGCTGGAGTGTCTCTAGGTCTGACAATGACGGGGGTAGGGCTGGGAATAACCAGTGGAGTCAACAGTGCTGTAACCACTGCTGCAGAGATTGGAGTTAACTGCAAACATCAAAAGAAAGCCAGTGAAGTTTTCCAGAGGTTCATGGAGGATGTGCAGAGTCTCCAGGGTTGTCTAGAGGTCACCCAAAGCCAAACAAGCCAGATAGATGTGGTTCTGGGAGTTGGCAAGATGCTTTGTAAAGCTGGTGCTATTGGAAAAGGTATTGATTCACTTGTTGATGCTGCCTCAGCCCTTAAAATGTTAAAAAGTGAAGAGCTGGTGACAAGTGCTGGCAGAGTGGCAGTGCAGGAAGGACAAGCATTACGTAATGTGCCCAGGGTGGCAGCAGATCTCCCAGATATTGGACAGGCAGCTGTCAAAGGGCCTCTTGCCCTCTCCAAGTCAGCCAGGGCTGGTCTCATTGGGCTCAATGCTCTCTTCCTCGGCATGGATATTGTCTTCATCTGTAAAGACAGTATCAGTCTGGCCAAAGGCAGTGAGACCGAAGTCTCACAGTTCATCAGAGCCAGAGCTGCTCTTTGGAGCTCAGAGTTGGACTCATGGCAGAAGATTCATGACTCACTGAGCAAAGGTCTGCAGCCATCAGAGAAAAACAAAGCTATCCTGGAGACGCCATTTTATCCAGAGAGGAACAGAAACAGAAGTTCCATCTGATGAAGTGGATGAAAATCAAAAAATTGAAGAGAAAAAAATTCTGTAATACAGTAGTGTTGGTGAACAGAGACAATAGTCCTTTTTATACAGAGATAGCACTGTAAGAAGTCCCTCTTCATGCCACCTTTGTAATTTTACACAGAAGCAAACAACAGCAGCATTAGGCTGCTCCAGAGTGGGATTTTAGACAGCATGCTGGCATCGCAGAATCCAAAGAGGCGTGACAGGTGTGGCATATAATCAAACA